AGCACAGTGGCCCAAGAAAGAGACAAATTGATTTCTACACATAATACTTTGACAAGTGTGCAGGGTTAGCAGACAGCGTTGCTCCGGAAGGTTGTTAGGGAGCTCAGTGTTGTCCCCGCCCTTGTGGTTGACTCCCCACTACATCCACGTTCCAGCCATTGTGCAGGGGAAGAGGGTGGGGGGATGTCCCAGTAGCTGCACACCTCAGGATCACTCTCATTCCTCGAGGGAGAACTTAGTCACATGACCATCCTGGCAGTGCACCCTGGGAAATGTAGTCTTCAGCTGGGCAACCTGTGGCTGCTCTGGAGATTCAGGGTCGGAAAGGTGTGTTCTGTTGCAAAAAAGCAAAGCAAAGCAAGGCTGGGTGCGGTGGCTCACGCCTATAATCCCAGCACTTTGGGAGATCAAGGCACACAAATTGCCTGAGGTCAGGAGTTCGAGACCAGCCTGACAAACGTGGTGAAACGCTGTCTCTACTAAAATTACAAAAAATTAGCAGGGCATGGTGGCACGCACCTGTAATCCCAGCTACTCTGGAGGCTGAGGCAGGAGAATCACAAATGCAGGAGGTCAAGGTTACAGTCAGCCGAGATCAGCCACTGCACTCCAACTTGGGTGACAGAGTGAGACTCCATCTAAAAAAATCAATTAACTAAAAAGGTGAAGTGAGGACTGGATATGGGGCAATCGTTATGAGATTCAGGGGTGTTCACTTGAACCTAGGACAGCTGACCTGCTCACCTCCCTCTTCCCAGCCTCGTCTGGGATCTGCCCTAGGTTCCAGTCATCCCCTCTCTCAGCCCGGACCCTAGGAGACAAGTACTTTCTTTTTCTTCTGAGCTGGAGTTTCGCTCTTATTGTCCAGGCTGGAGTGCAGTGGCGCAATATTGGCTCACTGCAACCTGCACCTCCTGGGCTCAAGCGATTCTCCTCCCTCAGCCCCCCAAGTAGCTGGGATTACAGGCGTGTGCCACCATGCCCAGCTAATTTTGTATTTTTTAAGTAGAGACAGGGTTTCACCATGTTGGTCAGGCCGGTCTCAAATGCCTGACCTCAACTGATCCACCCACCTTGGCCTCCCAAAGTGCTGGGATTACAGGCATGAGCCACCATGTCCGGCCAGGGACAGGCACCTTTTAAAAATTTATTTTTCTGATATTCAAATTAATAGGAAGGTTGAAAGAATAAATAGTGTAAAGAACACTGGCACACACCCTTGGCCCAGGTCACCTGTTTCAACACTCCGCCCTGTTTATGACTCGCATGTGTGTTTCTTATCTCCCATCTCTCTGTATACGTACACACACTTTTTACAAATCATCTTGAATATCCTGAATATCTTGCAGACATTATGGCCATTTACTTCAAAATACTTGAGTGTATATCTCCTAAGAATATTCTTACTGAACCATAGGAAAGTTATCCACGTAAGTTTAACCTGAATATAATCTTGTCTAATCAACCAGAGGATATGTACTTTTTATTTTTTGAGACAAGGTCTTACCATGTTGTCCTGTCTGGTCTCAAACTCCTGGGCTCAGGTGATCTTCCTGCCTTGGCCTCCCAAAGTGCTGAGATTACAGGCAGGAGCCACTGTGCCTAGTCAACTTTTCTGTTGTGGTTCTTTTATTGTTTCTTTGTTTCGGTTTTATTTGTTGTTGGCGGTGGTCGTTTTTTTTTTTTTTTTTTTCTCGTTTAGACAGACTCTTGCTCTGTTGCCCAGGCTGGAGTACAGTCACGTGATCTCAGCTTACTGCAACCTCTACTTCCTGGATTCAAGTGATTTTCCTGCCTCAGCCTTCTGAGTAGCTGGAATTGCAGTTGTGCGCCACCATGCCCAGCTAATTTTTTTGTATTTTTAGTAGAGATGGGGTATCACCATGTTGGCCAAGCTAGTCTCAAACTCCTGACCTCAAGTGATCCACCCGCCTCAGCTTCCTGAAGTGCTGGGATTACAGGCGTGGGCCACTATGTTTGGTCCCAGCCAACTTTTATATCAATATGTCTTGTCAAAATATACCCCCAAAATAGTCTTTTATAGGTTGTAATTAAGAAAACACAGGCTGAGTGTGGTGGCTCACTCTTGCAGTCCTAGCACTTTGGGAGGCCAAGGCTGACTGTAAGGCTAGGGAGGATCGCCTGCAGTCAGGAGTTTGAGACCAGGCTGGCCAATAAGGTGAAACCCTCTCTCTACTAAAATATAAAAATTAGAGGCCGGGCGCGATGGCTCAAGCCTGTAATCCCAGCACTTTGGGAGGCTGAGGCGGGTGGATCACGAGGTCAAGAGATCGAGACCATCCTGGTCAACATGGTGAAACCCCGTCTCTACTAAAAATACAAAAAATTAGCTGGGCATGGTGGCGTGTGCCCGTAATCCCAGCTACTCAGGAGGCTGAGGCAGGAGAATTGCCTGAACCCAGGAGGCGGAGGTTGCGGTGAGCCGAGATCGCGCCATTGCACTCCAGCCTGGGTAACAAGAGCGAAACTCCGTCCCAAAAAAGAGAAGAAAAAACAAAAGAATTAGCCGGGCATGGCAGTGAGCATCTGTGATCCCAGCTACTCAGGAGATTGAGGCAGGAGAATCTCTTGAACCCAGGAGGCGGAAGTTGCAGTGAGCCAAAATGGTGCCACTGCACTCCAGCTTGGGTGACAGAGCGACACTCCGTCTCAAAAAAAAAAAAGGAAAAAAAGAAAACACAAATAGGCTGGATGCGGTGGCTCACGCCTGTAATCCCAGCACTTTGGGAGGCCGAGGTGGGAGGATCACCTGAGGTCAGGAATTCGAGACCAACATGATGGAACCCTGTCTCTACTAAAAACACAAAAAGTAGCTGGGCGTGGTGGCGGGTGCAGCTACTCAGGAGGCTGAGGCAGGAGAATCGATTGAACCTGGGAGGCAAAGGTTGCAGTGAGCCAACACCACGCCATTGCACTCCAGCCTGGGTGACGAGAGACTCCATCTCAAAAAAAAAAAAAAAAAAAAAGCCCACAGATATATATAAGTAGCAGTCTGTGTGTGGTTTGTGCTTTGGTTTTGCTACTGTGTGTCCTGGATTGGAAGAGAAAGCAGGTTACTATAAATGGGATTTTGGAGACAATTGGAGAAATTAGGAGATGTACGTACCCTTATTTATTTCATGTCATCCTCGAGTCGGTGTTAAACATCCTAGATTGTATCGTACTGTGCTCAGTGAAGGAAATTCCTTTTTCTTAGACAGTACGTGCTACAGTGTGGAGGGGCATGGGATCTGCAAGGAATTCTCAAAATACTCAGGAAAAGAAGCAATAGGCCGGGTGCAGTGACTCACGCCTGTAATCCCAGCACTTTAGGGGGCTGAGGTAGGCGAATCACCTGAGGTCAAGAGTTTCAGACCTGCCTGGCCAACGTGGCGAAACCCCATCTCTTCTAAAAGTACAAAACTTGGCCGGGCGTCTTGGTGGGTGCCTGTAATCCCAGCTACTTGGAGGCTGAGGCAGGAGAATCACTTGAACCCAGGAGGCGGAGGTTGCAGTGAACTGAGATTGCACCACTGCATTCCAGGCTGGGTGACAAGAGTGAGACTCTATCTCAAAAAAAAAAAAAGGTTATAAGATAGTGTGCACACCACACAGGTGGGAGGGCAGAGAGAGGCGGGGAGGAAGCACAGGCAAAACGCTGACCACTGGGGAGCCTGGGCAAGGGCATCCAGGAGTTCTCGGCATTTGCAATTCTTTCTTTCTTTCTTTTGAGACAGCCTTGCTCTGTCACCGGGCGCCAGGCTGGAGTGCAGTGGCACAGTCTTGGCTTACTGCCACCTCCACCTCCCAGGTTCAAGCAGTTCTCCTGCCTCAGCCTCCCGAGTAGCTGGGAACACAGGGGTACGCCACCACACCCAGGTAATTTTTGTATTTTTTTAGTAGAGACAGGGTTTCACCATGTTGGCTGAGATGGTCTTGATCTCCTGACCTCATGATCCGCCCTCCTTGGCCTCCCAAAGTGCTGGGATTACAGGCTTGAGCCAGCACGCCTGGCCTGAGATTATTTCAAAGTATTTAGGCCGGTGTAAATGCAATTGTGGTTTTTGCCATTTCAGTGGCAGATGGCCTGGGCAGATGGGTGGTAGGTTGAGGGCATAGGAGACAGAGGTTTATGGGAAATAAAGAGATGTGCTGAGGCCGAGCGTGGCAGCTCACACCTGTAATCCCAGCACTTTGGGAGGCTGAGATGGGTGGATCACTTGAGGTCAGGAGTTCGAGACCAGCATGGCCAACATGGTGAAACCCCGTCTCTACTAAAAATTTAAAAATTTGCTTGGCATGGGAGCAGGTGCCTCTGTAATCTTAGCTGCTTAGAAGGCTGAGGGGAGAATTGCTTGAACCTTGATGGGGGAGGTTGCAGTGAGCCGAGATCATGCCACTGCACTCCAGCCTGGGTGACAAGAACAAAACTCCATCTCAAAAAAAGAAAAAAAGTCCAGGTGCGGTGGCTCATGCCTGTAATCCCAGCACTTTGGGAGGCCAAGGCAGGTGGATCACCTGAGGTTGGGAGTTCAAGACCAGTCTGACCAACATGGAGAAACCCCATCTCTACTAAAAATATAAAATTAGTCAGGCGTAGTCTCACATGCCGGTAATCCTGGCTACATGGGGAGCTGAGGCAGGAGAATTGCTTGAACCCAGGAGGCAGAAGTTGCGGTGAGCCGAGATCATGCCATTGCACTCCAGCCTGGGCAACAACAGTGAGACTCTATCTCAAAAAAAAAAAAAAAAAAAAAAGGATGTCCTAAGGATCTAGTGTCGGAATCGAATGGGCTGCCACTGCAGTAGCTAACAATTGAGCATCTGGAATGTGCTCCCACCCCGCTGCCTGCAGGGTGCAGAGCTGTGTTACTCCAGTCACTCCAAAGAGCAGGAAAAGGCTCACGGTCATGGTGGGTGCATGGGAGGCCATGGAGAAGACAACAGGGTAAGGGGTGTCTCTGGTCAGTACCTCCATCAAGCTCCAACTTGCCTGGCAGGATGGATGGCAAGCGGCGGCCAGGCCCAGGGCCTGGGGTGCCCCCAAAGCGGGCCCGTGGGGGATTCTGGGATGATGATGACATACCTCAGCCATCCCAGTTCGAGGAGGACCTGGCACTGATGGAGGAGATGGAGGCAGAGCACAGGCTGCAGGAGCAGGAGGAGGAGGAGCTGCAGTCGGCCCTGGAGAGGGCTGCGGACGGTAAGGCTTGGAACTGGAAGCCCCTGCGGCCGAACTCATTGCCCCTGGTCTTGCCTTTGGTCCAAGAGTCAGCTGCAAAGCTGACCTGTGACCCCACTCTGGCTGACTTTGAATCCTGCAAAGGACTGACCTTCCCCCCGCCATGCAGCCTGTGTGGCCTGCAGTGACTCTGGCCCTGACCCTTGACCCCCGTTCTCTTCCAAGTTTCCTGCCTGACCCAGACCACCACTTCTGCCTGGCTCCTTTCAGAGTCAGATGCTGTCCTGGCCAGAGAGGACCATGCCTCCATGTACCCCACTTCCTTCCCTTCCCCTACCAGGGCAGATCCCACCATCAGCCATAGATCCTCGCTGGCTTCGGCCCACGCCAGCCCCCCTGGACCCGCAGACGGAGCCCCTCATCTTCCAACAGTTGGAGATTGACCATTATGTGGGTGAGTTTGGGGGTTCCAGGTGGGTACTGGGGCCCCAGGCTCCTGGGGCAAGGCTGGGCCAGGTCAGCCCCTCCGGCTCTGCCCTTCGGGTGTCCATAGAGCTGAAGTGACAGAACAGACCAGCGGGTGGCAGGAGTGTGGAGTGTGAAGCAGAGGTGACACAAGGTCAGCTCGAGGCAGGTGCTCAGTGCAGTGCAGGATGTTTTGCATCCTGATTTTGGTACACAGGGGCTGCAAGGACCCCTGTGCCTTAAAATTCATAACACTAGGCACGCACACCAAAAGTCAACTTGACTTTTTTTTTTTTTTTTTTGAGATGGAGTCTTGCTCTGTCACCAAGGCTAGAGTGCAGTGGCACGATCTCTGCTCACTGCAACTTCCGCCTCCCAGGTTCAAGCAATTCTCCTACATCAACCTCCCAGGTAACTGGGATTACAGGCATACATAATTTTTTTTTTTTTTTTGAGACGGAGTCTCAATCATCACCCAGGCTAGAGTAGAGAGGTACAATCTCAGCTCACTGAACGTCTGCCTCCTGGGTTCAAGTAATTCTCCTGCCTCAGCCTCCCAAGGAGCTGGGATTACAGGTGCCCACCATCATGCCATGTTGATTTTTATATTTTTAGTAGAGACGGGGTTTCTCCATGTTGCCCAGGCTGGTTTTGAACTCCTGACATCAGGTGATCCACCCGCCTTAGCCTCCCAAAGTGCTGGGATTACAGGTATGAGTAACTGTGCCCCACCAATTTTTTTCTTTTTTTTTGAGACGGAGTTTCACTCGTATTACCCAGGCTGGAGTGCAATGGCGCGATCTCGGCTCACCGCAACCTCCGCCTCCTGGGTTCAGGCAATTCTCCTGCCTCAGCCTCCTGAGTAGCTGGGATAACAGGCACGCACCACCATACCCAGCTAATTTTTTGTATTTTTAGTAGAGACGGGGTTTCACCATGTTGACCAGGATGGTCTCGATCTCTTGACCTCGTGATCCACCCGCCTCGGCCTCCCAAAGTGCTGGGATTACAGGCTTGAGCCACCTCGCCCGGCCTTCTTTTTTTTTTTTTGAAACAGAATCTCCCTCTGTCACCCAGGCTGGAGTACAGTGGCACCGTCATGGTTCACTGTAACCTCAACCTCCTGGGCTCAAGTGGTCCTCCCACCTCAGCCTCGAAGTCGCTAGGACTACAGGTGTGCACCACAATGCCTGACTAACTTCTAAAAATATACTTTTGGGCCAGGTGTGGTGGATCAAGCCTATAATCCTAGCACTTTGGGAGGCTGAGGCGGGCAGATCACTTGAGGCCTGGCCAACATGGTGAAACCCCATCTGTACTAAAAATACAAAAATTAGCTGGGTGTGGTGGTGCAGGCCTGTAATCTCAGCTACTCAGGTTGCTGAGGCAGGAGAATCCCTTCATCCTGGAAGGTGGAGTTTGCGCCACTGCACTCCAGCCTGGGAAACAGAAAATACATATGTATATGTATATGTATATATATGTATATGTATATGTATGTATGTATTTGTTTTTCGTTTTTTGTTTTGTTTTTTTTTTGAGTCGGCGTTTCGCTCTTGTTGCCCAGGCTGGAGTGCAATGGCGCGATCTCGGCTCACCGCAACCTCCGCCTCCCGGGTTCAGGCAATTCTCCTGCCTCAGCCTCCTGAGTAGCTGGGATTACAGGCACGCGCCACCATGCCCAGCTGAATTTTTGTATTTGTAGTAGAGACGGGGTTTCACCATGTTGACCAGGATGGTCTCGATCTCTTGACCTTGTGATCTACCCGCCTCGGCCTCCCAAAGTGCTGGGATTACAGGCGTGAGCCACCGCGCCCGGCTGTTTTGTTTTTTTGAGAGAGGGTCTTGCTCTGTTGCTGAGGCTGGTCTCAAAGTCCTGGGCTCAAGTGAAGTGACCCTCCCACCTTGGCCTCACAGTACACTGGAATCACAGGCTTGGGCCACTGTGCATGGCCAGTTGTTTTCATCCTGTAATAAAAAAGAGGGGCCTCCCTGTAGCTGTGCTGTGGAGAATGGACCCTAGGGGGACAAGGGTGGAGATGGGAACCAGGGCGAGGCTGAAATGGACAGAGGGAACGGTAGAGGGGCAGGAGTGCCCCAGGCTGCAGGCCCCAAGGTATTTGGAGGCTGTGTGGGTCTGAGAAGGCACACCTCCGAGGAACCTGAGAGAGGCATCCCCTTTCTTATCCTGTGACCCTGCAGGCCCAGCGCAGCCCGTGCCTGGCGGGCCCCCACTGTCCCAAGGCTCCGTGCCTGTGCTCCGAGCCTTCGGGGTCACTGACGAGGGGGTATCCGTCTGCTGCCACATCCACGGCTTCGCCCCCTACTTCTACACCCCAGCGCCCCCTGGTGAGTGGCCCCCACCCAGCCCTGCCCCTTGCCCCTGGACCCCCGGATCCCTCTGTACCTCTGACCACCCCTCCCACCCCAGGTTTCGGGCCCGAGCACCTGGGCGACCTGCAGCGGGAGCTGAACCTGGCCATCAGCCGGGACAATCGCGGCGGAAAGGAGCTGACCGGGCCGGCTGTGCTGGCTGTGGAGCTGTGCTCCCGAGAGAGTGAGTGCTCCCCAGGGATCAGCAGGTGGGGGTTCCCTGGGGAGGCTGCTGGCCGATCCCAGCCTCTTCTGTCCGCAGGCATGTTTGGGTATCACGGGCACGGGCCCTCCCTGTTCCTGCGCATCACCCTGGCGCTGCCACGCCTCGTGGCCCCGGCCCGCCGTCTCCTGGAACAGGGCATCCGTGTGGCAGGCCTGGGCACCCCCAGCTTCGCGCCCTATGAGGCCAATGTCGACTTTGAGATCCGGTATGGGCTCCGCCTCACTTCTCCAGCCTCTGTCCCCACCCTTAGGCAGCCCCTGTCCACTGACCCCCGGTCCCCTCCAGGTTCATGGTGGACACGGACATCGTCGGCTGCAACTGGCTGGAGCTCCCTGCCGGGAAATATGCCCTGAGGATGAAGGAAAAGGTGCAGGGCTGCCCAGGGCAGGGCAGGGCAAGGTGGGGTGGGGAGCTGGTGCCCTGCTGCCACCACTGACCCACTCATGCCTGCAGGCTACACAGTGCCAGCTGGAGGCGGATGTGCTGTGGTCCGACGTGGTCAGTCACCCACCTGAAGGGCCGTGGCAGCGCATTGCGCCCCTGCGTGTGCTCAGCTTTGACATTGAGTGTGCCGGCCGCAAAGGTCTGTCCCTGGACCCAGGCTCCTGTGCACCTCCTTGATGTGCCAGGTGGGGGTGGGGGGTGGGCAGGCAAGTGCCCAGGTCCTGGGGGCGGGACCACCCCAGCCTGTGTGGCGGGATAGGGTGGGGAGGGGTGGAGATGGCCTGGAGGTGAGGGCCGAGCTGGAGCCAGGGTGGGTTACTCAGGGTGGGCCAGCAGGCAGGTAGGCGGTGGGGACAGCCCTGGGGAGATGGGAGGTGCTGACTCCCTGCTGTGTCAGGAGGGAGGGGCAGGAGTCAGGTCCAAGCATCCCCCTTCTCCCCTCCCTCACAGGCATCTTCCCTGAGCCTGAGCGGGACCCTGTGATCCAGATCTGTTCGCTGGGCCTGCGCTGGGGGGAGCAGGAGCCCTTCCTACGCCTGGCGCTCACCCTGCGGCCCTGCGCCCCCATCCTGGGCGCCAAGGTGCAAAGCTACGAGAAGGAAGAGGACCTGCTGCAGGTGGCTCTCGCTCTGTGCCCCACACCACTTCCCAGGGACCCCACCAGCCTCCACATCCTGAGCCATCCCGGGCCAGCCTCTGGTGCTGCGATGCCCGTATCCATGGGTCTGGGCACCCCTGTGTTCTTAGGCTTCAGCATTCCCATGCTGGGTTCTGCAGGATTTTCAAGGGTGGCTGGGCTTCCAGAACATTCTGGAAGTAGGGGAATCCGAGGCAGGGCGACCACCAGGGTGACCCAGTGTGCTCCCATCCCCAGGCCTGGTCCACCTTCATCCGCATCATGGACCCTGACGTCATCACCGGCTACAACATCCAGAACTTTGACCTTCCATACCTCATCTCTCGGGCCCAGATCCTCAAGGTGAGGGCTGGGCAGGCGGGGGCTTCTCTCAGACGCTCCAGGCGTGGCCTCCGGGCCCTGGGCCTCCTCCCCATGGCTTGGTGTGCCTGTTCCATGTGCCTCAGCCCGTTGCCTGGGCCTGGCCCTGCCCTGCTCCAAGTCTGAAAAGCTACTGTGGCTTTTGTCAGAGGCAAGGAGAGCGTTAGAGTGGAGTGAGAGAAGGCCGCGTATTCAGAGGTCGGGCTGAAGCTTGCAGGGGTTCAGCAAGCCACTGAAGCAGCCACTGAATCCAGGCCTTGCTTCGGGTTATATCCGAGTAAGGAAAAGAATAATGATGAAGAAGGAGGAGACGGGGAGTGTGATGACGGACAGGGCAAATTCCAGATGTCTGTTGAGTCTGGGTGTGTGTAAAGGTAGATTCCTCTGCCCAGGTTGCTGTATCAAAGAGCCACAGACCAGGTTTCTGAAAACAGCGGGTCATTGTCTCACCGACCTGAAGGCTGGAGAGTCCACGACCTGGTGTCAGCCGGGCCACTGCCTTCGGGGCTGTGAGGGGAGGGTCTGTTCCTGGCCGGCCTCTCTCCTTGGCTTGCAGACGGCTGTCTTCCCCGCGTGCCTCTTCACGCTGTCTTCCCTCTGTGTGTGTCTGTTTCCAGATGTCTTCCTTTTTGAGACGGAGTCTCGCTGTGTTGCCCAGGCTGGAGTGCAGTGGAGCGATCTCAGCTCACTGCAACCTCCACCTTCTGGGTGCAAGCAATTCTCCTGCTTCAGCCTCCCGAGTAGCTGGGATTACAGGCATGCACCACCGCACCCGGCTAATTTTGGTTTTTTTAGTAGAGACAGGGTTTCTCCATGTTGGTCATGCTGGTCTTGAACTCCTGACCTCTGGTGATCCGCCCACCTCGGCCTCCCAAAGTGCTGGGATTACAGGTGTGAGACACTGCCCAGCCTATTTTTGTTTTTTTCGTTTTTAGTAGAGCAAGGTTTTACCGTGTTGGACAGGCTGGTCTCGAACTCCTGACCTCAGGCGATCTGCCCGCCTCAGCCTCCCAAAGCACTGGGATTACAGGCATGAGCCACTGCGCCCAGCCCAGATGTCCCCTTTGTATAGGGATACCATCATGGGATGAGGGCCCACCCCAGTGACCTCATCATCGCTTGATCCCCTGCAAAGACATACTTCTAAATGAGGTCATATTCTGAGATGCTGGGGGTTAGGACTTAAGCATCTTTTGGGAGAACATGGTTTAGCCCTTAATGGGATATATTGTCTTATTTTCCTGCTTTTCTGTCTGGCCAGCTTGGTAATGGAAAACCAAAACAGGCCAGGCATGGTGGTTCATGCCTATAATCCCAGCACTTTGGGAGGACCAGGCGTGAGGATTGATTGAATCCAGGAGTTTAAGACCAGCCAGGGCAACATAGCAAGACTCTATCTCTATTAAAAAGAAAAAATCCATTCTGAAAAACAGAGCAAACTCTTAGGACCCCCAGTGGCTCCAGCTGTCCACTCCACAGCGTGGCGCTGATGCCCAGGCCACTGCGCTCCTTCTCCTTTTCCCTGGGCGCCCCTCACCCTCTGCCCTGGGCCCAGCCCAGGCTTCTCCTGGCTTCAGTCTCCCGCAGGCTGGGCCCCAGCACCCTGCAAGGTCCCCTTCACCCAGGCGCTCTCCAGCGTCTTTAGCTCCCTCCCCCGTCTCAGCCCAGCTCCATGCTGCCACCTGCTCACAGCGTCCCCAAATCTCTTCCTGTTCCCCGCCTAGGTGCAGCCCGCAGCCACTGGGCTCTGTCCTTGGTCCCCAGTCCATTAGGACCCCGACTTTCCCTGTCCCAGCCCCAGCTGCAGCTTCATCCTCCCTCCGGACTCCTTCCCCAGCCTCCAGCTCCCCACACCCAGCCCTGCCCGTCTTTTTGCCCCCAGGGTTGCTCTCAGCTCCCCAGGGATGTCGTGGTCGGTCTGGATCTCCGTTCCTCTGGCTGATGTGACACTGGGGACTCCCAGCCTGCCGCACACCCTGCCTCTCCCCGCCAGGTACAAACATTTCCTTTCCTGGGCCGTGTGGCTGGCCTTCGCTCCAACATCCGGGACTCCTCATTCCAGTCCAAGCAGACGGGCCGGCGGGACACCAAGGTGGTCAGCATGGTGGGCCGCGTGCAGATGGACATGCTGCAGGTATAGCTGGGCCAGGCGGGTGCCGGGCGGTGTCCCTGTCCTCGGGAGGCCACTGCCCAGGCCTGGAGCCAACTCACCCGCCCACCCACCCAGGTGCTGCTGCGTGAATACAAGCTCCGCTCCTACACGCTCAACGCCGTGAGCTTCCACTTCCTGGGCGAGCAGAAGGAGGACGTGCAGCACAGCATCATCACCGACCTGCAGGTGCCTGCCGCCTCCCTGACCTCTCACCCTGACCTCTGACCTCCACCTTTTCCCCGGCCACTCACTTTGGCTGCATACCCCCACCTCTGACCTCACTCTGGACTCCTTGGCCCCCCGACCCTACCTCCATCTCCACCCAGACCCTGATCACTTGGAAGCTGCCCCTGCCTGCCTCACCTCCCAGGCCACCCGCCCTGTTCCCACTTCCTCCTGCTGCTCTGCCTCGCACCACCAGCCCCCGGGCCCTGACCCCATCTGTGCCCATCCCCAGAATGGGAATGACCAGACCCGACGCCGCCTGGCCGTGTACTGCCTGAAGGACGCCTACCTGCCGCTGCGGCTGCTGGAGCGGCTCATGGTGCTGGTGAACGCCGTGGAGATGGCTCGGGTCACTGGCGTGCCCCTCAGCTACCTGCTCAGCCGTGGCCAGCAGGTCAAGGTCGTGTCCCAGCTGTTGCGGCAGGTCAGTGGCCAAGACCTATCCTCACCACTGCCCAGCAAGGGGCGCCACCAGGCACGTCTCTGGCCCCCTCCAGGCAATGGCGTCCCAGATGCACCTTTTCTCCCCACTCCCAATCCTCACGGCCCCACCTATACCCGCTCCATTTTCCACCTTCTCCCCTCCCAGGCCAAGCAGGAGGGGCTGCTGATGCCCGTGGTGAGATCGGAGGGTGGCGAGGACTACACGGGAGCCACTGTCATCGAGCCCCTCAAAGGGTGAGGCCGAGGCTGGGTGCAGTTTGTTATTGTAATCTCTGGGAGGCCAAGGCAGGGAGGATCTCTTGAGCTCAGGAGTTCCAGACCAGACAGGGCAACATAGCAAGACCCCTGCTCTACAAAAAGTTTTTTAAAATTAGCCAGGCGTGGTGGTGCATGCCTGTAATCGCAGCTACTCAGGAGGCTAAGGTGGGAAGATGACCTGAGCCCGGGAGGTGGAGGCTGCAGTGAGCAATGATTGCACCACTGCCCTCCAGCCTGGGTGACAGGGCAAGACCCTGGCTCTAAAATACTTTAATAGGCTGGGCACGGTAGCTAACGCCTGTAATTCCAGCACTTTGGGAGGCCAAGGGGTACAGATCACGAGGTCAGGAGATCGAGACCATCCTGGCTAACACGGTGAAACCCGTCTCTACTAAAAATACAAAAAATTAGCTGGGCGTGGTGGCATGTGCCTGTAGTCATCCCAGCTAATCGGGAGCCTGAGGCAGGAGAATCGCTTGAACCAGAGAGATAGAGGTTGCAGTGAGCTGAGATCACGCTGCCGCACTCCAGCCTGGGCAACAGAGTGAGACTCCATCTCAAAATAAAATAAAATAATTAATGATTTTGTTTTTTGAGGCAGGGTCTTCCTCTGTCACCCAGGATGGAGCGCCGTGGTGTGATCTTGGCTTACTCCATCTCCCAGGCTCAAGCCATCCTCCTGCCTCAGGCCCCTGAGTAGCTGAGACCACAGGCGTGCACCACCACACCTGGCTAATTTTTAAAAATTTTTTGTAGAGATAGTGTTTCACTGTGTTGCCCAGGCTTGTCTGGAACTCCTGCGTTCAAGCGATCCTCCTGCCTCAGCCTCCCAAAGTGCTGGGATTACAGGCGTGAGCACTGCTCCCAGCCAATAAATGATTTTTTTTTAAGGGTGAGGCCGAAAGGCAGGGCAGGGGGCGGCATGGGAACTCCTAGTCCTGACTCCCCACCGCGGCTGCGCCCCTCCCAGGTACTACGACGTCCCCATCGCCACCCTGGACTTCTCCTCGCTGTACCCATCCATCATGATGGCCCACAACCTGTGCTACACCACGCTCCTGCGGCCTGGGGCTGCCCAGAAACTGGGGTATGGTGTCCAGTTCAGCAAGTGTCCCCTGAAGCCATTGGGGCCCTCCCTTGGGGTGCTCAGTCTGGTGGGGGGAGACAGGCACAGGGCTAGGACCGCAGGTCAGAAGTGGAGCTAGAGGAAGGGGGTTGCTGGCAGTCACCCTGCCATCTTCCACCCTAGCCTGACGGAAGATCAGTTCATCAAGACGCCCACTGGGGACGAGTTTGTGAAGACCTCAGTGCGGAAGGGGCTGCTGCCCCAGATCCTGGAGAACCTGCTCAGCGCCCGGAAGAGGTGAGGCCTTCACATCCCCTGCTCAGAACTCAGACTTGCTGGGGTCTCTGGGCAATCCCTGTCCCTCATTGGCTACCTGGCCGCACTGCCCGAAGCTGTGTGTGAAATGACACCAGGCGCCCCCTCCTGGCAGCTTCCCTTCGCCCCCTTGACCAGAAGCCTCTGTGCAGTGCACAGCACGCCCAACTGTACATTGCACCCACTTCCAGAAAGGAGCCCTGACCAATGCCCAGGGTGCCGTCTGATTGTGCTTTATCTGTGTTCCCTTGCAGGGCCAAGGCCGAGCTGTCCAGGGAGACAGACCCCCTGCGGCGCCAGGTCCTGGATGGGCGGCAGCTGGCGCTGAAGGTGAGCGCCAACTCCGTATATGGCTTCACTGGCGCCCAGGTGGGCAAGTTGCCGTGCCTGGAGATCTCACAGGTGAGCACTCAGGCCTCTGGCAGGTAATTGGGGGCAGGTGGGCCCCCTGTGTAGGATACCAGGGCTCCATGTTGGGCACTTGTATCCAGAGGACTGGGCGCCGCGACTCACTGGCCTTCTAGAGAGAGGATACCACCGTGGCTTGAGCGATTGGTCCATTCATTCACTCAGCAAACGCCTGCTGAGCACGAACTGTGGTCAGGGCTCACTCTGTGCCCTAGGGGTACAGAGGGGGGCAAAAGGGATAAGAGCTCCTGTCCCCGTTTGGCTCGCAGCTCAGTGGGAACACTCACAGGTCCGTGGTAAACACGTGGAACACACGTGGCACTAAGAGCCCTGCAGACGGATAAAGCGGGAGGTGCGGACTGTCGGGGAGTGAGAAGGCTGGGCGGGACCCACCACCCTCAGAAGGCATCGCTCACACAGGCCAGGAAGGGGTGGGAAGCCGCTCGCCGTCCTCACAGCAGCATCCCAGCCTGCTTACCCATGGCAGCTCTGCTGCTTGGACAGAAAAACAGACTCTGAAACCACAGAGGGCCTGAGTTTCCCAGATTTTGCCAAGCTGGGGTGAGTGCCCCAGCTCCTGGCCCATGAGGGCCTCAGAAGGGTCTTCTTATCCAGCCTTCTCCCCTGGAACTTGGGTCTTGGCACATTCCAGGCCAGTAGTTGTGCCCCTCTGCTTGGTTACCTCTAGCTGCAGGGAGCTCCCTCCCTGCCTGGGCACTGTGCCAGTTTTCACAGGGCTCTGGGCAAAAGGCTGGATGAATTCCCAATGGGTGGGGACTGTGCACACACATACCCACCCAAACTTCTGGTACCCCAAAGCCCACTCAGGTTCAGTGATTCACGAGAAGTACTCAGAGAGCTTGGAAAAGCCGGTTCTCATGGTCATGATTCAATACAGCAAAAGGACACAGATTAAACTCAGCAAAGGAAATGGTTCACAGGGCAGGGTCTAGGAGGGACCAGGCGTGTCTTCCAGGTGTCCTCTCCCAGTAGAGTTGCCAGGATGGCCCTCCTTTCTCCCAGTGTTGATACGTGGCCGCACGTGCAGCATTGCCAACCAGAGGTTCTCACCCATGCTCTGGGGTCCAGGGTTTTACTTGGGTGTCAGTCCTGTAGGCACGAAGCGCCCTGTGACTGGCTTTAGTGTCTCCATCCCCAGGCCATTCAGTGACCCCTAGAGGTCAAACCGATACTGCATGGCCCAGGGCCCCGCTGTAAATCATACGAGTGTAAACCCGCCTGGTGTGGTTCAAAGTCTCAGGTACACGGACACATTTTTTTTTTTTCTTTTTTTTTGAGACAGGGTCTCACTCTGTCTCCCAGGCTGGAGTGCAGTGGCACAATCATGGCTCACTGCAGCCTCAACGTCCCGGACTCAAGTGAGCTTCCCACCTTAGCCTCCCCAGTAGCTGGGACTGCAGGCACACACCAGCTATTTTTGTTATTTTTTGTAGAGATGGGGTCTCGCCATGTTGCCGAGGCTGGAACAGAGACACTGTTATCAGGCAGGATATTCTAGGGACTTAGTGGGCCTTCCAGGAGCCAGGCAAGACCCAGACCTTTCTTTGCAACAAAGTGAGTCACTGCATGCCTGCCCCCAACTCCCCTCTGCAGGCACCGGCTGCCTCCCCAGCCTCCTTGGTGGAAAGGGGCGGCTTTGTGGACATGAGGCCCCAGCTCCAAAGCAGAGGCCAAGCCAAGAGAGCACCACGTGGCCCTCCCCTGGGGCCGCCTCTCACCGACCCTGTGCCTCTGTCTTTTCTTTTCTCTCTCAGCTGCTCCTCTCTGTCATTCTGTTCCGTTTCTGTCTCTTGACCTCTTTCCTTATTTCTGTCTCTCAAGCTTATGGATCAAGGGATGGAATAATAAAATGTATTGAACCAGGCACAGTGGCTCACACCTGTAATCCCAACGCTCTGTGACACTGAGGAGCAAGGATCACCTGAGGCCAGGGGTTCGAGACCAGCCTGGGCAGCACAGTGAAACCCTGTCTAAAAAATACAACCAAGCTAGGTAGGCATGGCGGGGGCTCATGCCTGTAGTCGCAGCTGCTCAGAAGGCTGAGACAGGAAGATCGCTTGAACCCAATAGATTGAGTTGCAGTGAGCTGTGATGGCATCACTACACTATTCTGGGTGACAGAGTTGAGATGCTGTCTCTTTTAGTTTTTGTTTGTTGGTTTGTTTTGAGACAAGGTCTCGCTCTGTCGCCCAGACTGGCGTGCAGTGGCACGATCTTGGTTCATTGCAACTTCTGCAGTTCCAGGTTCAAGCAATTCTCCTGCCTCAGCCTCCCTAGTAGCTGGGGCTACAGGTGTGTACCACCACACCCAGCTAATTTTTGTATCTTTAGTAGAGATGGGGTTTCACCATGTTGGCCAGGATGGTCTCAATCTCTTGACGTCGTGATCCGCCTTCCTCAGCCTCCCAAAGTGCTGGGATTACAGGCGTAAGCCATCGCACCTGGTGTTTTGAGATGGAGTCTCACCTCGTCACCCAGGCTGAAGTGCAGTGGCGTAATCTCTGCTCACTGCAACCTCTAGCTCCCGGGTTCAAGTGATTCTCCTACCTCAGCCTCCTCAATAGCTGGATTACAGGCGCCCGCCACCATGCCTGGCTAATTTTTGTATTTTTAGTAGAAACAGCGTTTTACCATGTTGGTCAGATTGGTCTTGAACTCCTGACCTCAGGTGATCCATCCACCTCAAGTTCTGGGATTACAGGTGTGAGTCATGGTGCCTGGCTTCCTGTCTCTTTAAAAAAAAAAAAAAAAAAAAGACATATATATCTCTCTCTCTCTCTGTGTGTGTGTGTGTGTGTGTGTGTGTATTGAATTATGTCTGGAAAAGATTACAAAGGAAATAAAAAGTAACATAGAACAGGTGGAACAAGTAAAAGTCAGACAGTAAAGTGGGAGACATAAGCCAAACTGTATCAGTAATAACCATAAATGTAAATGGACCAAATAGTTACACAGATTTCCTGACTGGATCTACACAAACAAACAAAAGAAGCACCCCCATCTCTCCCTACTGTCCCCTCCCCCACCCTCAGGATTTTATGGGGGTTTTTTTTGTATTTTTAGTAGAGATGGAGTTTCACCGTGTTGCCCAGGCTGGTCTCGAACTCCTAACCTAGAGTGATTGCGCCACCTTCGCCTCCCAAAGTGCTGGGAGTACAGGCATGAGTCACTGCACCCAGCCAATTTTCTTTTCTTGAGATGAAGTCTCGCTCTGTTGCCCAGGCTGGAGTGCAGTGATGCGATCTTGGCTCAGTGCAGCCTCTGCTTCCTGGGTTCAAGTGATTCTCCTGCCTCAGCCTCCCAAGTAACAGGAATTACCGGCACACACCACCACGTGGGCCTGGCTAATTTTTGTATTTTTAGTAGAGATGAGGGTTCACCATGTTGGCCAGGCTGGTCTCCAACTCCTGACCTCAAGTGATCTACCCGCCTTGGCCTCCCAAAATGCTGGTATTACAGGCGTGAGCTACCATGCCTGGCCTCAGTTTTCTTAATTCTAAAATACGACAGCGGGTTTCTCAATGGTTTTTTAGTCAGGGTGGTACCATCCCCTGCCCTGTGGGGCATTTGTTAGTGTGTAGGTAGGGCCAGTTCTGGTTGCACAGGGATGGCTGTGGCACTGCTGGCTTCCAGGGAGGGGCCAGCTCTGTCAGTGGTCCTGTACCACAGAGACCTGCCCAGAATGTCACAGTTTCAGGGAAACACTGAGCCAGTGGCCTCTTCAGGCGCAGCCTTTCCAGCATGCATTTGATGTATTCAGTTCCTCATGTGTGCCCAGAACTCCCATCTGGGGAACCCATTTGTTTCCACCTGACCATTGAGGAGCAGCCTTGTAGTCCCATTTTGCAGATTTGGCAACTGAGGCCCAGGAGGGGCAGAGTGGCTTGTGCATAAGCCCATACCACTGGACAATGGCAGAGGTGGGACTCCCCCACCACCACCCATTGCCCACATTCACGGCAGATGGCTCCCAGGGCTTCACTCAGCCTGATTCTCTCCCCGACAGAGCGTCACGGGGTTCGGACGCCAGATGATTGAGAAAACCAAGCAACTGGTGGAGTCCAAGTACACAGTGGAGAATGGCTACAGCACCAGTGCCAAGGTCGGGGGCTGCCCACCGTTGCCCTGAGATGGGCCCAGGGCAGGTGGGGGGAGGAAGCAGGGCCGGGCCCCATGTCCCCGTGCCTCCTGGTCACATCCTGCCCGCTCTCCTGTTGTGTCCTTGGGTTCCCGTTAGCATTAGCCACTTGCCACTGCCCCCCCCACAGAAGTTGACAGAATGGACCCTGCTTCTCACACACACACCACCTACCCCCAACCCCCCCACACACAGGTGGTGTATGGTGACACCGACTCCCTAACCCCCCACGCAGGTGGTGTATGGTGACACCGACTCCCTAACCCCTCCCGCAGGTGGTGTATGGTGACACCGACTCCGTCATGTGCCGATTCGGCGTGTCCTCGGTGGCCGAGGCGATGGCCCTGGGGCGGGAGGCCGCAGACTGGGTGTCCGGTCACTTCCCGTCGCCCATCCGGCTGGAGTTTGAGAAGGTGTGTGGCTCCATCAGGGGCTCTCCATTTAGGGTGCCCTCATCCGGGGACTCAGGGCGTCCCATCATTCTTCCGGTTCACGTAAGCCACAGTGTGAAGGTATTTTGCTGCCTAGATCCTCCTGAGGATGGGGCCTTGGTTTCCGAAGCCTCCATAGCCTTGGCCTTTGTTACGCTGGGTGGCAGCTGTTCTTTGCAAACCCTGTCACAGTGTCCCTGCTTGTGAGGTTTCCTAGTACCTGTCAGATGTGGAGCTGCCCTCCGCACGGGAACCCCGATGGGGCTGCATCTTGGATGTGTGCACCAGTGCCAAGGGCCCCAGCCCTTGGGATATGGTACACCTGGTCCCAGGAAACCTTGCGCCATGTTTTCTTTTCTTCTTTTTGAGAGGGAGTTGCGCTGTTGTCGCCCAGGCTGGAGTGCAATGGCGAGATCTCGGCTCACGGCAACCTCCACCTCCGAGGTTCAAGTGATTCTCCTGCCTCAGCCTCCTGAGCAGCTGGTATTACAGGCATGCGCCACCACCCCCGGCTAATTTTGTATTTTTAGTAGAGACGGGGTTTCTCCATGTTGGTCAGGCTGGTCTCAAACTCCCGACCTCAGATGATCCACCTGCCTTGGCCTCCCAAAGTGCTGGGATTACAGGTGTGAGCCACTGCGCCTGGCCCACATTTTCTTTTGAAAAGACTGGGTCTCGCCCTGTTGTTGCCCAGGCTGGAGTGCAGTGGGGAGTTTACAGCTCACTGCAGCCTTAAACTCCTGGGCTCTGAGAATCCTCTTGCCTTGGCCTCCTGAGCCACCCTCCCGGTCCTCACACTGTACTTTTTCCCTGTGGTTTAACGAGCTCTTGTGCCAGCCCTTGAACTTGGAGCCTGGAAGGCTGGGGAGGTCTCTGCCTCAGGGCTCACCCAGCCTTAGTCTCACCTCTCCTGGGGATGCCTCGTTGTCTCCCGAGTTGGGCTCTCATGTTTTAGGGACTATCTCTGGGTTTATCTCAGTCTCTGTTTCAGATTGGGGTCCCTGGTATGGGGGGCCCCAGCATGCCAAGGGGCCTCAGGAGCTGCTTCCAGCCACACTCAGGGTCTCAGGGCCCATCCCACCAGGTTCAGGGTGTGGCTCCCGTGTCCTCCTCCTGCATCTGGGATGCTGTCTGCCTTCAGTTTCTGGGGGAGTGTAGGGACTGGGGCCCAGCCTCCGCAGGCTCAGGGGTCTCGGCCTCTGCAGGCTCAGGGGTCTCAGCCACGGCTCCCTCCCAGGTCTACTTCCCGTACCTGCTCATCAGCAAGAAGCGCTACGCAGGCCTGCTGTTCTCCTCCCGGCCCGACGCCCACGACCGCATGGACTGCAAGGGCCTGGAGGCCGTGCGCAGGGACAACTGCCCCCTGGTGGCCAACCTGGTCACCGCCTCGCTGCGCCGGCTGCTCATTGACAGGTATGTTGGACCTCCTCCCTCAGACCCAGGGTTCCAGGCCCCAGCCCCTCCTCACTCAGACTCAGGGGTCTGGATCCCTAGCACCTCCTCCCTCAGACCCAGGAGTCCAGACCCCCAGCCCCCTCCTTCCTTAGATGCAAGTATCCAGAACCCCCAGCCCCTCCTCTCATAGGCCCAGGGGTCCAGACCCCCATGCCCCCTCCTCCCTCAGACCTAGGGGTCCAGATCCCCACCCCCTCCTCCCCTGGGAACACAGGTGTCAGGCCCAGCTCTTGCTCGGTGGTGAAGCAGTGGAAAGAGTCGCCTTGGGCAGCTGTGGGTTCAGGCCCTGCCTCTGCCACTCTGCAGCCTGTGGTAGGAAGGGCCCCTCCCTGCCCTGAGCCTCAGCCCTGAGAGCTCATCCTGGTCCCCAGCCCTGAGGCACCAGCCTGGCCCTGGGCGCCTTTTGGTGACACTGGCCTGTGCGGTCCGCTCTCCCACAGAGACCCTGAGGGCGCGGTGGCCCACGCGCAGGACGTCATCTCCGACCTGCTGTGCAACCGCATTGACATCTCCCAGCTGGTCATCACCAAGGAGCTGACCCGCGCGGCCTCCGACTACGCCGGCAAGCAGGCCCACGTGGAGCTGGCCGAGAGGTCCTGCCTCGGGGCGGGTGGCCCGGCCAGAAATAGCCCCCTCCTTCCTGCCAGCTGGGCCCACCACTTCCTACGCCCCCACCCCCACCCCCGCCACCCACCTGCCCTCACCCACCCGCCGCCCGTCTCCACGCAGGATGAGGAAGCGGGACCCCGGGAGTGCGCCCAGCCTGGGCGACCGCGTCCCCTACGTGATCATCAGTGCCGCCAAGGGCGTGGCCGCCTACATGAAGTCCGAGGTCAGGCCCACCTGGCTGCCTGCTCCCGCCCAGCCCCCTCACTCTCACTTCTGCTTTCCGAGATGGGCGGGCCTGCGGGAAGGGCGGGGCCTCCCCTGCCCTGTGGGGCCCTGAGAACTGCCCCCCCCCCCCCCCCGTGGCAGCCTGGGCGTGGCCTCGGCCCCCTCTGGAGGTCTCCCTCTGTTTTGACGCCTCCCTTGCTCCCCTGTGGAAGGGGGTTCCCTTGGATTCATAACCCTCCCACTCTACCCCTACCCGCAGTGACCCACATCTTAGCCCATGACCTCTGACCTCCTAACCCCCTCCTCATCCTTGCTTCCTCTTGTGAACTCTGACCCTTCTGTGGTGACCTGAGAGCCCCATAGACTCTGTGGCACAGAGACTCCTTCATGACCTCTGACCCCATCCCATACCTAGGATCCCCATGTCACAGCCCCTCCTCCCTCAGACCCGGGGGTCTGGGCCCCCAGCCCCCTCCTCCCTTAGATGTAAGAGTCCAGACCCCTTGACCACCCCCAGGCCACTGTCCCTGTGTCTGACCCGGCACCCTTCCCTGGGTGGCCTGGGTGTGACTGCCATGTGGCCGCAGGACCCGCTGTTCGTGCTGGAGCACAGCCTGCCCATCGACACGCAGTACTACCTGGAGCAGCAGCTGGCCAAGCCCCTCCTGCGCATCTTCGAGCCCATCCTGGGCGAGGGCCGCGCCGAGGCCGTGCTGCTGAGTAAGGGGCGCGGGGGGAGGGGTTGGGGACATCCCAGGGGCAGGGGAGGGCACTAGCTCACCACCCACCTCCTCGTCTGCCTCCTTCTTGCAGGGGGGGACCACACACGCTGCAAAACGGTGCTCACAGGCAAGGTGGGCGGCCTCCTGGCCTTCGCCAAACGCCGCAACTGCTGCATCGGCTGCCGCACCGTGCTCAGCCACCAGGGTGAGCCGCCCCGACCACTGCCCCTTGGCCTGCCTCTGCCAGCACCCCCGCTCCTAGACACCCACCACACGGGCTGGCACTGCCACCCAGCAGGCCCTGGGCCCCTAGGCAGTGGCTCCTCTCTGCCCACCCCCCACGGAGGGTCCTCGGCCCCCACCCGGGGAGTTCCCCAGGGGAGTTTTCCCGGCACACTCGCTCCGTTGTTCTCCAGCCTCCGGGGAGTTTCAGAAGCTGGGATTGGCAGCAGGCAGGGAAGGGGCAGGGATGAGGTGGCCCAGGCCCTGGCTCGGCCCCAGCCCTCGGTGCTGACCCGCCTCCCCCGCAGGAGCTGTGTGTGAGTTCTGCCAGCCCCGAGAGTCCGAGCTGTATCAGAAGGAGGTGAGAGGGCCGGGAGGTGAGGAGCGGGTAGGTGGGGAGACCAGGGCGCCCTGTTCAGCCGCTGCCGTCCCCAGGTGTCCCATCTGAATGCCCTGGAGGAGCGCTTCTCGCGTCTCTGGACACAGTGCCAGCGCTGCCAGGGCAGCCTGCACGAGGACGTCATCTGCACCAGGTGTGCGCCGAGGCTGACCCCCGCCTGCCCCGCCCTTCCCGGCTCCCAGGCCTGTGGGTTATGGACCCGGCCTTCTACTCCAAGACCTCTCCCAAGCATCCTCCCTGCCCATCCCCTTCCAGCTGTGAGGTCTCCTGAGCCTCAGTGTCCTTGCCCACAAAATGGACCCATCCCAGCCCCCCAGAGGGGGTGGGTGCTTAGGGAGGCAGGGCCGGCATCCACCCAGTGTTGCCTGGGAAAAGGCTGTCCTCCCGACACACCCGGCCTTCCTGGCCCCCTCCCCAGGGCGGGGCCGGGCTTTCCCCAGGGAACGGGTGGGCGGGGTGGGTTCCCACGCCAGGTGACAGGTGATATACGGCCAGCCCTGGCCTGCACACTGCCGGGCACCCGCTGTTATCGCCTCCCCCATGCCCGCTGAGCAAACAGCCCGCTGCAGGAGGGGGCAGGTGGGCTGGGCAGCAGGCAGGGGCCAAAGTCCTGGGAACAGCCCCCACCCCTCTCCCAGACTGGGCACTGGGCCTTGGCCCTGACCCTGTCCCCTCCCCACCTGCAGCCGGGACTGCCCCATATTCTACATGCGCAAGAAGGTGCGGAAGGACCTGGAGGACCAGGAGCAGCTCCTGCGGCGCTTCGGGCCCCCTGGCCCCGAGGCCTGGTGACCTTGCAAGCATCCCACGGGGTGGGGCTGGGGCGGGGCCGGTGAGAATGAATAAAGTTCTGGACTTTTGCTACATGGCACTTTGTGGTCTCTGGGGGCACCAGGTCTGGTTTCATAAGCCCTGGGCCTGGCTGCGACCCTCCTGAGGCCCCCACCACACCTCATCCTCAGGAGAAGCGCCCCCGGGTTCCCACCTGTGTTGCCTGGTTCATGTCGGCCAAGCCTGCCTCAGTTTCCTCTCTGGCCCTGAATGAACACTGGCACCAGTACTTCTCTGCCCTGTTTAGGGCCCCCAGGTGTTTGGCCCTGGCCCAGCCCTCCCTGGGGTTGACCCTGGGGACCCCGGTGGCTGCCCCGCCTTCCAGGTGCTGACATGTTTCCTCCAGGCCTTGGGGCAGCCCCAGGCCCCGAGGCTTCCATTCGCAAGCACGGCCAAGAGGACCCCCCCGCCAGGTCATACACCCACGATGTTTCCACATCAGGGTCCTGGCAATGGGCTTCGGGTCTGGGTTTCCCCCCAGTGACTCCCATCTCTATCCCCGCGGCCTCTGACTGCCCTCAGACACCGTCAGTCACCTCACACGTCCCCCGGGGGACAGTCTTCTTGCCCTCGGCCTCCAGCCTGCCCCTGCTGGAATTCAGCTTCTGGGTCTGGATCCTCCCCTTCCTGATTCCCCCCTTCAGCGAACCCCAGCCCTTGACTTTTTCAGGGTGGGACCAAATCCAGCTTCTGTCCCATCTCTACCCCTCAAGGTCAATCCCCCAACCCTAGCCCACGGGGATCCCCAAATCCAGACAGCCCCTGGCCTGCCCTCCTTGCCACGTGACAAAGGGGTTGTGCAATCCAGCCCCCTCCCCTGGCCCCCTCCCTGAGGGGATTTTCGAGGAGGGCCGAGCTTGTGGCCAGCGAGCACCCTCCTCCCCCTGGCAGGGGCTGGGCCAAGATATAAATAGGGGCGGCGGCTGCAGCGGGCTGCACACAGCCCGCCCGGCACCACCATGCTCGCCCTGGAGGCTGCACAGTAAGTGAGGGCCCCCAAACCTGCACTCGGGGTCCCCACCTGCGCTGCCCCTCTGTGGGGCCTCACCCATGGGCAGCGGTCTCTCTGCTCAGGGCAGGTGCGTGGGAGAGGAGGGGAGGGGTCTGCCCTTTCTCCTGCCCCTTCGGGTTCTGTTCCCTCTTCACTTCGGACTCTCCATCCCCTCAGTGCCTGTCTTTCCTGGTCCCCAAAGATCTCATGTCCTGGGGACACTTGCTAGCGTGCTCTCCTGCAGGCATCCTCCTAGGCTCACTCTGCCGTCTGCAACTCCCATCTCCCCGGGTCTCCCCGGGTCTGCTCCCTCTGTATCTGGCATCTCCTGGCTCTCTGTTTTCTGCCTGTTGCTCTCTGTCTCTGCCTGTCTCTGTGTCTCTGTCTCCAGTTTTCTCTGCCTTTTCATTTCCTTCTGCCTCACCCTCACCAGCAGTGCGTCCAGTTGGGGCTCCAGGAATCCTCCCTGCCTCTGTGTGTGAATTTGCACACCTTTCTCCCCATCCAACCTTTCCTCGCACCTCCTCATCTGAGTCTCCTTCGGGTTTCCCCCTCTCCACCCAGATATCTCTGCATCCCTCACCTCTGATACAAGCTGGACCCATTTAACTGATTTGCCACCAAGGCCCCACTTGGCCCAGGCCCGCTCTCCATCCCACACCTTTCCGGGGACTTTCTCTCCCTCACTTTCCCTGCTTCTCCCCACCAGGATGTCTATGCAAATTCTGGGGAGGAGGGGGACATTTGCCTGCCCCCTACCCCCCCTACTTCCTGTCCCAGCAGTGGGTAGTGGGGGAGTCGGTGAATGTGGTGGGGCTGGTCCCTCACACAGGGCTGCGGTGGTGACAGCTGCTGCCTCCTCCCCATCAGCCCCCAACCACTTTGAGACTCAGGTGGCTGGAGGCAGCCTTGACATGCCACTGTCTCCCCCCTCCTCCAGGCTTGATGGGCCACACTTCAGCTGTCTGGTGAGTTGGGGCACCTGGGGGCCAGGGAAGGGTGGCCCGTGGTGACCTCCCTCGGTGAAGTCAGTTGCTTCCTGCCTCAGTTTCCCCTTCCGCCTCTTCCTGCCACTTTGTTTCTGAACTCCCCCTTGGTATCTCCCGCCACCCCCATCCGTATCTCCCATGTCTCTCTCCCCCTCTCAGGCTTGAACCCACTTCCTTGTGATTTCATGTCTCTCTGCCCATCTCACACTCAGCAAACGTGTTTATGTGTTCCTTTCCTTCTTTTTTCTCCGTATTTTTAAATATTGTATTCCGTAATAGTTCAGACACGGAATACTATACCCAACACCCTTGAACCCACAACGCAGTCTGAGAAATCACATCTTACTGATGTGGTTGAAAGAAACCCTTGTTTATGCCCCTCCACATTCACACCCCATCCATGTTTGTTTGTTTTTTTAAATTGAAGTGTAACTTACAAGTCAGTAATGTGACAAATCTTGTGGACACATCAGTGAGTTTTTGCATTTTATATATATATATATATATACACACACACACACACACCTTGAAGCCACATGGCAGATCAAGATACAGAATGTTTCCATCACTCTGGAACATTCCTTCCTGTCTCTTCTCAGTCAATACCTTTCTCTGGTATTTCCACCACCAATCTGTAATTTGTTTTGCCTTTTTTTTTTTTTGAGACAGAGTCTCACTCTGTCGCCCAGGCTGGAGTGCAGTGGCATGATCTTGTCTCACTGCCACCTCCATCTCCCGGGTTCAAGCAATTCTGCCTCAGCCTCCCAAGTAGCCAGGATTACAGGTGTGCAACACCACGCCCGGATAATTTTTGTATTGTTAGTAGAGACAGTGTGTCACCATGTTAGCCAGGCTGGTTTCAAACTCCTGACCTCAAGTGATCCACCCGCCTCAGCCTCCTGAAGTGCAAAGATTACAGGTATGAGCCACTGTGTCCAGCTGCCTGCTTTTGAACTTCATATAAAGCGAGTCATGCAGCATGTCCCTTTTGGGGCCTGGCTTCCCTCACTCCACATGAAGTGTGTGTCAGGTGTTTGTCCTTTTTCTTTGCTGTATAATACTCCACGATTAGCCCATACCACCGTTTGTTTAGCCCTTCGCCTGCGGATGACACCTGAGCTGTTTCCAGTTGGAAACTTGTAATAAAGCTGCTGGGATGATTCGGAAACAAGGCTATTTGGTGCACATGCATTTTCAGTTCTCTTGATTAAATGCCGAGGAGTGAGACTGCCCCGGCCTAGGCATGATGTGGGTCTAGCTTTAGCTTTTCCTAGACGCGAGTTCTTGAAGCAGCAACACATGATTCTTCGGGCAAATCAACATATGGAGGTTTGTTTATTTATTTGAGACAGAGTCTCGCTCTGTCACCCAGGCTGGCGTGCAGTGGTAGGATATCGGCTCACTACAACCTCCACCTCCCAGGTTCAAGCGATTCTCCTGCCTTGGTCTCCCAAGTAACTGGGATTACAGGCACCTGCCACCAGACCCAGCTAATTTTTATATTTTTAGTAGAGACGGGGGTTTCACCATGTTGAGCAGGCTGGCCTCGAACTCCTGACCTTGGGTGATCTGCCCGCCTCGGCCTCCCAAAGTGTTGGGACGACACGCCTGGGCTGGAGGCTTATTTTAAAAGCATTGAAGCCCTGCCTCTGTGAAGTGAAAAACTTCCATTTCCCCTTGCCCTTTGCCTCCGGAGACCACCAGGCAGACAAGGCTGGGAGAGTACTTCTGCCCCTTCTCCAGGCGCCCTGATGTGCAAACTGTGTGCCAGTGAGGGGCTGGGGTGTCTTGGGAGCCCACCGTCTTAGCAGGAGCTGGCTGCTGTGTGTCCCTCTTGGGTTGTCTCTACTCTCTGTATCTCTGTCTCTTTGTCCCTGTCTTTGATGCCTAGTCTCTGTGTCTCTCTGTTGGTCTGTTTCTGATCACTCCAGGTTCCCCTCTTCTCTCCCCTGTCTGTGCTGGAGTCCCCCCAAGGGTCCAGGGTGGGGGTTGGGACTCCCCAAGGCCTGGGATGACCCCTCTTCCCACCTGCACCCTGTATTAGTACCCAGATGGCGTCTTCTATGACCTGGACAGCTGCAAGCATTCCAGCTACCCTGACTCAGAGGGGGCTCCCGGTGAGTGACCCCAGCCCAGTGCCCTTCCTGCCTTGAGGCCCATTTCGCAGATGGGGGAGCTGAGGCCCAGGGGAGGTCATCGCCTAGCACAACAGGATAAAGATGGCCCAGGCCTATAGCCCTCCTCCCCTTTCCTCTCCCACCCATCCGCTCCCCCATGCAAATCCTGGGGTCAAAGATTTGCACAGCCTACAATGGCCTCTCTGTGCTGGGGGCTTAGCCTGGGAGGAGGCCTCGGTCAGACCTCCCAGCTCCTGACTCAGTGCCCTTCCCCCAGACTCCCTGTGGGACTGGACTGTGGCCCCACCTGTCCCAGCTGCCCCCTATGAAGCCTTCGACCCTGCAGCAGCCTCTTTTAGCCACCCCCAGGCTGCCCCGCTCTGCTATGGACCCTCCACCTACAGCCCTGCAGGGAGCCTTGAACTGGCCCCCAGCCTGGAGGCCCCAGGGCCCGGCCTCCACGCATACCCCATGGAGGACTTCGCCAGCCAGGTGAGTGGTAAGGGGACAGTTAAAATCAAGCCAGCCATGGTGGTGCACGCCTGTGATCCCAGCTACTTGGGAGGCTGAGGTGGGTGGAGGATTGCTTGGGTTCAGAAGGTTGAGGCTGTGGTGAGCTGGGATCACACCACTGCACTCCAGCCTGGGCGAACAGAGCAAGAACCTGTGTCAAAAAAAAGAAAAGAAGGGCCAGGTGCGGTGGCTCACACTTGTAATCCCAGCACTTTGGGAGGCCAAGGAGAGCAGATCACCTGAGGTCGAGAGTTCGAGACCAGCTTGACCAACGTGGAGAAACCCCATCTCTACTAAAAATACAAAATTAGCTGGGTCTGGTGGCGCATGCCTGTTATCCCAGCTACTTGGGAGGCTGAGGCAGGAGAATGGCTTGAACCCGGGGGACGGACGGTGCAGTGAGCCAAGATCGTGCCACTGCATTCCAGACGGGGCAGAAAGAGTGAAACTCTGTCTCAAAAAAGGAAAAAAAAGAAAACTCAAGCTTGGTCATTTGGCTGAGGTTTGCTGGGTGCCAGGCACTGCACTGAGACTGCACATAGTGACCCCTGCAGCCACCTCCCAGGTTCCGTTCCATTTCTGCTCCACTGCACCAGTGAGTCAAGAGAGATAGTGACAGGAAGACAGGGACAGGGAGGACTGGCTTTATCAGTCTTGGGCCTGCTTTAAGGAGGAACCTCAGGTGTCCTCTGGCCACAGCATGGTGATCCAAACAAAGGCCAAAGTCCAGGCTGTCAGCAAAGATGGAGACCAGAGCCAGGAGGGCCACCTTGGGGGCCTGAGAGGAGGGAGTAAAGGGAGAGAAGGGGACCCTGGACGTGCAGGTGACCCTGACCTTCCGCAGACCCTGGGTCCCCCGGCATATGCCCCGTACCCCAGCCCCGTGCTGTCAGAGGAGGAAGACTTACCGTTGGACAGCCCAGCCCTGGAGGTCTCGGACAGCGAGTCGGATGAGGCCCTCATGGCAGGCCCTGAGGGGAAGGGATCCGAGGCAGGTATGCGGGAGTGGCTGGGGTGGGGGAGATGCCAGCTGGAGGTGGGTGAGGGGGCTGAAAGCACTGTGGCTTCCTGGGCTCAGAGCAGCTCCCAGATCCGCACCACCTGCTGGCTGTGTGACTTTGGGTAAGTGCCTCTACCTCTCTGTGCCCAGGTTTCCTGTCTTTACCATAGGGATGGAGGTGATAGTGTCTACCCTCATGAGGTCGTTGGGAGGATTAAACGAGAAAACATGTGTAAATAGGACAGCAGTGCCAGGCACAGAGTGAGTTTTTCAATAAGTCAGCCCCTTCACCATCATTCCCAACACCACAGCAACAGAAATAATCACGCTATCAACCCCAACGGTTCAACCCTTGCCCTGCCCAAGTGCCCGACATCCTTTATGCTCAACCACAGGGAAGCTGGGATCACTTGTTACTTTCTGTGTCTGGGCCTCAGTTTCTCATCTGTAAAATGAGTATCATTGTCATCATCCCCATCTCACGGGGTTATGACGGAGATTAAGTGAGCTCATCATTGTAAAGCACCTTGCGAAGCACCTGGCACTACCTGTTCTACAATGGACTGTAAAACTCAACACGCAGGTTGGGTGTGGTGGCACACACCTGTAATCCCAGCAGGTGTGGGAAGCTGAGGTGGGTGGATCACCTGAAGTCAGGAGTTTGAGACCAGCCTGGCCAACATGGCAAAATCCGGTCTCTACTAAAAATACAAAAATCAGGCTGGGCATGGTGGTGCACACCTGTAATCCCAGCACTTTGGGAGGCTGAGGCGGGCGGATCGCCTGAGGTCACGGGTTTGAGACCAGCCTGGCCAAGATGGCAAAATTCGGTCTCTACTAAAAACACAAAAATCCGGCTGGGCATGGTGGCGCACACCTGTAATCCCAGCACTTTGGGAGGCCAAGGCAGTTGGATCACAGGGTCAGGAATTCAAGACCAGCCTGGCCAAGTTGGTGAAACTCTATCTCTACTAAAAATACAAAAAAAATTAGCTGAGCATGGTGGCAGGCACCTGTAATCCCAGCTACTTAGGAGGCCGAGGCAGAGAATTGCTTAAACTCGGGAGGTGAAGGTTGCAGTGAGCTGAGATCATGCCGCTGCACTCCACCCTAAAAAAACTTTTTTAATTAAAAAAAAAATAAAAAAATTAGCTGGGGGTGGTGGTGCATGCCGATAGTCCCACCTACTCAGGAGGCTGAGGCAGGAGAATTGATTGAACCTGGGAGGCGGAGGTTGCAGTGAGTCAAGATCATGCCATTGCACTCCAGCCTGGGCAACAAGATCAAAACTCTGTCTCAAAAAAAATTATTGGGGCATGGTGGTACATGCCTGTAATTCCAGATACTCAGGAGGCTGAGGTGGGAGAATCGCTTGAACCCAGAAGACAAAGGTTGCAGTGAGCTGAGATCGAGTCACTGCACTCCAGCCTGGCAACAGAGCGAGACTTCATCTCAAAAAAATAAATAAATAAAATAAAAAATAAAATAGCAGGGTGTGGTGGTGCATGCCTGTAATCCCAGCTACTTGGGAGGCTGAGGCAGGAGAATTGCCTGAACCCAGGAGGCAAAGGTTGCATGAGCCGAGATCACACCACTGCACTCCAGCCTGGATGACAGAGCAAGACTTGTCTCAAAAAAAAAAAAAAAAATTCAGCCTCATTTAAAAAAATTTTTTTAGAGTTGGCCATCTCTCCAGCTCCTGGTCGCCCAGCCTCTCAGCCCAAAGCGGGACAAGGTCCAGGAGAGGCCAGGGCACCTGACTCCTGGGCTCCTCAGTTTCTTTTTTTTTTCTTTTTCTTTTTTTTTTTTTTTTTGAGACAGAGTCCTGCTCTGTCGCCCACGCTGGAGTGCAGTGGTGTGATCTTGGCTCACTGCAACCTCCACTTCCTGGGTTCAATCAATCCCTCCTGCCTCAGCCTCCAAAGTAGCTGGGATCATAGGCAACCATACCACGCTCAGCTAATTTTTGTATCTTTAATAGAGACAGGGTTTCGCCATGTTGGCCAGGCTGGTCTCAAACTCCTGACCACAGGTGATCCACCAGTCCTGGGCTCACAAAATGCTGGGATTTCAGACGTGAGCTACTGTGCCCGGCTACCTAGCCTCATTTGTGCCTGAGGAGGCTTTGGTTCAGAGAAGTTAAGTCAGCTGTTTTAACTTAGGATATTTAAGATGGAGAGGACCTCTCCGATGACCAGGAAACACACAAGATGGAAATAAATATTTTATTTATTTTTATTTATTTATGAGACAAGGTCTCCATCTGTCACCCAGACTGAAGTGCATGGCGCAATCTCGGCTCACTACTGCCTGGAACTCCTGGCTCAATTGATCCTCCTGCCTCAGCTTCCTGAGTAGCTGGGACCACAGGCATGCACCACTACATCTGACTAATTTGTTAAATTTTTGCAGAGGTTAGGTCTTGCTACATTGCCCAGGCTGATCTCCAACTCCTGAGCCTACGTGATCCTCCCACCTCAGCCTCCCAAATTGCTGAAGTTACAGTCATGAGCCACCTCACCCAGCCGGAAATAAGTATTTTATTGCCTATATAGGTCCTGGGGCATACATGGCACGCCTGGAGGCTGCACACACAGGGGTCAGGGAGTGCAGGCAGGGAGGGAGAGAGAGGGACCAGTGGACTGATGCCTTTATTGGGTCCAAGGCAACAGCCAAACAGGTTTCCTGTGGGGGATTTTAATTGGTGGTTCAGGCCGGGAACGGTGGCTCATGCCTATAACCCCAGGATTTGGGAGGATGAGGCCGGTGGATCACCTAACATCAGGAGTTCAAGACCAGCCTGGCCAACATGGTGAAACCATCTCTACTAAAAATACAAAAATTAACCAGGCATGGTGGTGGGCACCTATAATCCCAGCTATTCAGGAGGCCTAGGGAGGAGAATCTCATGAATCCAGGAGGTGGAGGATGCAGTGAGCCAAGATCATGCCACTGCACTCCAGGCTGGGCAACAGAGCAGGACTCCATCTCAAAACAAACAAATAAATAAATAGCATAATTGGTGGGTTGAAAGCAAGCAGGATCAAGTTCCAGGAAGTCACGCTGTGCCTGAGAGGGGGTCACTGAGGCATCTGCCCAGTCCATGCATGGCCATCAAGTAGGCTGTCCGTGGCTGTCCCACAGGGAGGTGGTCCCCAGGAGGCAGCTGCATAAAGGAGACGTCTGGGTCACCCACACTGAGGAAGTGGGGAGGCAGATCTGGAACTGGAAACCGCCAAGGGGGATGGCCCTGCTTCCAGCATGAGAAAGTCCAACTTTTGTTTTATTTTTTATTGTTTTGAGATGGAATTTCACTCTTGGTGCCCAGGTTGGAGTGCAATGGCATGGTCTCAGCTCACAGCAACCTCTGCCTCCTGGGCTCAAGCAATTCTCCTGCCTCAGCCTCCCAAGTACCTGGGATTATAGTCATCAGCCACCATATTTAGCTATTTTTTGTATTTTTAGTAGAGACGGGGTTTCGTCATGTTGTCCAGGCTGGTCTCGAACTCCTGACCTCAGGTGATCCGCCCACCTTGGCCTCCTCCTAAAGTGCTGGGATTAGAGGTGTGAGCCACCGTGCCCAGCCTCCAATTTAATATTTTACATGAATGCTGAGGCAGCCTAAAATTATAAGAATTCAAGCGGGGTGCAGTGGCTCACATCTGTAATCCCAGCATTTTGGGAGGCTGAGGTAGGAGGATTGCTTGAGCCCAAGAGTTCAAGACCAGCCTGAGCAACATAGCAAGACCCCATCTCTACAAAAAATAAAACAATTAGCCAGGCATGGTGGTACGTAGCTGTAGTCCCAGCTTTTGGGGAGGCTGAGGCAGGAGGATCACTTAGGCCCAGGAGGTTGAGGTTGCAGTGAACTGTGATTGCTCCACTGCATTCCATCCTGGGTGGCAGAACAAGACCCTGCCTTGAAAAAAAAATTAAGATATCACTATGTTACCACCCCAAGGTCACACTGCTGTGAAACAGCAGAGATGGGATTCTTGTAGACAGTGTCCTGCTTTGAAAACTCCCAGTTATTGGCCAGGTGCGGTGGTGCACGCCTGTAGTCCCAGCACTTTGGGAGGCCGAGGTGGGTGGATCACCTGAGGCCAGGAGTTTGAGACCAGCCTGGCCAACATGGAGAAATCCCTTCTCTACTAAAAATAAGCTGGACGTGGTGGCTCATGTCTGTAGTCCTTGCTACTGGGGAGGCTGAGGCAGGAGAATTGCTTGAAACCAGGAGGAGGCAGCCGTTGTGAGCCAAGACTGCACCACTGAACTCCAGCCTGGGTGACAGGGCAAGACTCTGTCTCAAAAAAAAAAAAAAGAAAAAAGAAATCTAGGAGCCCAGGAGTCAGGTGCCCTGGCCGCCCCGGGAACCCTGTTCCTCTTTGGGCTGAGAGGCTGGGAGACCAGGAGCTGGAGAGATGGCCACTATACTAGGTGAGGCAGGGTGGCAGTTCTTCCAGAATCCCAAGAGCTTCTCTGGGATTTTCTTGTGATATCTGAGAACCTGGCGAGGAGACCTGGGACCTTTTTAAGATCCCTGTGTGTGTGTAAACCCTCAGTCTCATCTGGGCTGGGGGCCCTGCAGGCAGCCCTGAGCCCTGTCCAGGGGTCCCTCTTGTCGGATTTGAGATCTTCTAGTTATGTCTGGGGCCCTCTGAGAGCCATTATTGTCTCAGATCTCTTTGCCCATCTATGGCTATGTTGTCACATCTGTCTCCTCATCTTTGAGATCCCCTAATTCTCTGGAACCATTCTGCTGTCCCCTTTTTATGTGTCTGGAGTTCCCCAATCACAACTAGGGCTCCTCTGAGGTCCTTTTGTCATGTCTGAAATCACTCTTGAGCTGTCTGGGGTGGGGGATGGGGGAGTCAGTGAAATGTGTCCGTCTGGGCCCTGTCAGGGACACCCCTGTTATATCTGGGATCCTCCAATCACATCTGAGACCTCCTAGGATCTCCATCTGATATGCCCTTTAGGGACCCCACCCTTCCTGGTGGCCCTCCCTGTGGCCATGCTGAGGACCACTCTGGCCATGAGACTGATTTCTGGGTGATCATGGAAGCTCCCCACCTATCTTATTTCTTTTTCTTTTCTTTTCTTTTTTTTTTTTTGAGATGGAGTCTTGGCTGGAGTGCAGTGGCACAATCTTGGCTCACTGCAACCTTTGCCTCCTGGGTTCAAGCAATTGTCCTGTCTCAGCCTCCCAAGTAGCTGGGATTACAGGTGCATGCCGCACGCATGGCTAACTTTTTTTGTATTTTTAGTAGAGATGGGGTTTCACCATGTTAGCCAGGATGGTCTCAATCTCCTGACCTCCTGATCTGCCTGCCTTGGCCTCCCAAAGTGCTGGGATTACAGGCGTGAGCCACTGCATCCAGCCCCACCCATGTTATTTCTAATTAGAGGTCTCAAGGTGGTCACCCCCTACCCTGTCCCTGATGGTAGTCTCTTTGGTTCACTGCAGCATGTGGCAGTGGAGGTATGAAGGATCCACATTTACAGCAGACCATCAGCTAGGCACTGGCTCACACCTGTAATCCCAGCACTTTGGGAGGCCGAGGCAGGGGGATCCCTTGAACCCGGGAGTTCAAGACCAGCCTGGGCAACATAATGAGACCTTATCTCTACAAAACAAGAAAATTAGCTGGGCATGGTGGTACACACCTGTGGTCTCAGCTGCTCAGGAGGCTGAGGCGGGAGGATCGTTTGAGCCCAGGAAGTTGAGGCTGTGGTGAGCTGTAATTGTGCCACTGAACTTGGCCTGAGTGACAGAGCCAGACACTGTCTTAAAAACAAAAAACAAACAGCAGACCATTCAAAATAGGGAGACTTTGCATAACGCAGATTTCTTCCTTCACTTAAAACTTTGGACGATCTGGAGAGAGTGGGATAGTTTTCGGTGAGGGGTGGGGAGCTGGAACAGGGCAGTAGCCTGTCTTAATGGAGTATTTGTTCTCCAGTCTACCCCAGTGGCTGCCATCCCTGGCTGTCTTACCCCAGCAGCTCCTGAAGCCTGTTTTAGAACATGAAGCCTGGATGGGCTGTGGGAGTGCTGGTTGGGACCCTCAGGGAGAGAAAGGCTGTCAGCCAAGAGGCCATAGGTCCTTGAGCCTGGGGAGGGGGGAATGGGGGGAAGGGGGTGGGAGGTGGGTAGGTCGATCTAGGGTGAATGACTCGCTCCTTCCCAACCTCAGTTTGTCCCTTCTGTGAAAAAGGGAGAAGGAGGAAGATCTCAAAAAGCCCTTGTGGCCCAGTGGAGTGGCTCACACCTGTAATCCCAGCACTTTGGGAGGCTGATGCAGGTGGATCACCAGAGGTCAGGAGTTCAAGACCAGCCTGACCAACATGGTGAAACCCCTGTCTCTACCAAAAATACAAAATTAGCCAGGCGTGGTGGTGCATGCCTGTAGTCCCAGCTTCTTGGGAGGCTGAGGCAGGAGAATCACTTAAACCCGGGAGGCGGAGGTTGCAGTGAGCCGAGATCTCGCCCTAGACTCTGGTCTGAGCAACAAGAACAAAACTCCTTCTCAAAAAAAAGCCTTTGCAGACCTGTTGAGCCTTTGACACATCACCTGAAATCCACCCCACTCCCGGGAGGAGGAGGAGGACGATGAGGAGGAAGAGGAGGAGGAGGGAATACTAGTGACCCAGAGACAGCAGACTTCCATGTGGAGGCACACAGTGGCTGGTGGCAGAGCCGAGGCTGGGACCTGCCCTCAAGAGAAGGAGTGGGGAGGCGGAGGGAGGAAGGGCGGGCAAAACGTCCTCCCCAGGGCCCCCTGCAACAAAGAAGGTACTTTTTATAAAAGCTATCATTGTCACCCTAAATGTAGAATAAAATAAGACAAACTGAAGTAGACAGACCTCCTGGGACCTTTTGTGAGGGACTGCAATCCCGCCCTTCCACTGGGACCGCGGGCTGTCAGAGAGCCGTCACGGGCGTTCAAAGAGACAATTACATGCTGGCGCGGTGGGTGGCTCCATAATCCCAATACTAATCCCAACACTTTGTGGGGGCCGAGGCAGGAGGATAGCTTGAGTCCAGGAGTTCGAAACCAGCCTGGGCAAGACAGTGAGCGCCCCCGCCCCCCGCCCACCCGTCTACAAAAAATACAAAATTAGCTGGGCGTGGTGACGTATGCCTGTAGTTCCAGCTACTCTGAACTTCTGAGGTGGGAGGATCACTTGAGCACAGGAAGTCGAGGCTGCAGTGAGCGGTAATCCTGCCACTGCCCTCCAGCCTGGGCGACAGAGCGAGACCCTGTCTCAAAAACTAACAAAAAGGCCGGGCGCGGTGGCTCAAGCCTGTAATCCCAGCACTGTGGGAGGCCGAGGCGGGTGGATCACGAGGTCAAGAGATCGAGACCATCCTGGTCAACATGGTGAGACCCCGTCTCTACTAAAACTACAAAAAATTAGCTGGGCATGGTGGTGCGTGCCTGTAGTCCCAGCTACTCAGGAGGCTGAGGCAGGAGAATTGCCTGAACCCGGGAGGCGGAGGTTGCGGTGAGCCGAGATCGTGCCATTGCACTCCAGCCTGGGTAACAAGAGGGAAACTCCGTCTCAAAAAAAAAAAACAAAAAACAAAAAAACAAAAAACAAAAAACGCAAAGACATCATACAGCAACACCTGTCTGAAACTTGAATGCCGAGAAATAAGAGGCTTGACATGCAGGCACAGAGTGTTCCGTTTGTTTTATGTCTTTCTCTCTTCCTGCCAATTGAATTTCTCCACCTCCTCCCGGCTTCCCCTTCCTTCTGGGTCTCTGTCCCCTGCCCTCCGAATTGAGCCCTCGGGCTGCCGGCGCGGGGGCGGGGGAGGGGCTCCAGGTGGCCGCGCCACTGCAGGCCCGAGCCCCTCTCCAACTTCGCGGGGCTCTCCGGAGCGCCGTAGCAGTCTGCCTGGCAACCCGTGACATCACACGGGGCTGACGTCGGATTGGCTGATGCTCCCTGGAGGCGCAGAACTTTCCGGCTCGTAGGGGGTTTTGGAAAAGGAGGGGTGGGAAGATGAGTAGGAAGAAAGAGAGAAGGGACTTGGTTTTCCTCACACTGGGTCCCTCGCGCCGCGTTACTAGCCAGGTGGTCCCCCGCGTTAACCCTAAGTCCTCAGCACCCTTTCCCTCCTTCCCCCCCACAACACCTGGTGTCCCCAAGCCCCGCCCTCCACAGGCCCCGCCCCCTCGGCGCCCGCCGCGTCCGGCGCCTCCCCATTCAGAAAGTCGCAGGTCTCCCGCCGGGAAGGGCGCCAGCGTCCGGGCAGCCCTCCAGGGCCTTCCCAGCCTCCCGCCCGCCCCCGCCGGGGACGCCTGCCCCCTACCCGCGTCGGGTGCCCGCTCCGGGAAGAGTCGCGGGGAGCGGTCCCAGGAAGGGCGGCGGCCAGTCCGCGTCCCAGGTGGCCGGGGCCCAGGCCTTCGGGTTTGCCTAGGCCTGGGCGCGAGACTCCGGAGTCCCAGAGCCCCGGCGCCCTTCCCGGAGGCACGGGGACCTCCTCCCCCCTTCGCCGTCCTGCCTACGCTGGGAAACCGGACCCTCCCTCCCGGCTCCGGTTTCCCGAAAACTCCTGACTTGCAGATGCTAAGAATGGCTTCCTAGACCCTGTTCCTCCCCGCCCTACTTCATGCCAGAGCTCTGGCCCGCAGCCCTTGCCCCCTGGAGACTCTCGATCTCTTCCTCTTCCTCCTCCTGGGAGCCAGGCGTCCAGGCGCTCCTTTCTAGAAAACGCAAGAATCTGGGACCCCGGTTGCTTCTGCTGCCAGACTCAGGAGTCCAGGCACCCAGCCCCCTCCTCCCTGAGACCCTGGATGTCCGAGCCCCAGCCCCCTCCTCCATCAGACCCAGGTGTCTGAGCCCCAGCCCTTCCTCCTTGGGGACCTGGCTCTCAGCCATCTCTCTTGGTCCAGCTGTTATTTCTCGCCCTTTAGAACATGCGGGCGGAATGTGGGGCGGCCCCAAGGTCTGAAGCCTCCTGGAGCCTTCTGGGAGTCTCAGGACTCCTTAAAAGGCTCCCCCTGGGGGCCCACCTGTCCTCCCTAGGGCTTATCAGGACGCAGCTGCAGTCAGAGGAGCGGGAGGAGGTCCTCCAACATGCCTGAGGCAAAACCAGGTGGCTCCAGGACCCCCTCCCTGTGTGGGGATGGATGGGGTTCTTCTTTTCTGAATGGGTATTTGGGACTTGTAAGGTTGGGAGAAGGAGGGACCTTCTCTGTGTGAAGAGGAGGCTCCCTTTTCTGTGTGGAATGAGGGTTCCCGTGTGTGTAGGGTGAAGGTCTCGGCTCTGCATGGGGAAGAGGGTCCCCTTCCCTTTGGGACAGGATTTTCCTTCCTTGTATGAAATGGGGGTGGTCTCATATATGTGTGGGATGAGGGATCCCTTCACTCTGCAGGTAAGTGATTACTTGTAAGTGTTTGGGGGGACCCATCTCTGGTGGAGATGGGGTTGTAAATTGGATTCCTTTTGCTTGATGAGGATGGGGGTCCTATGTGTGTAGACTGGGGAGGTCTTTTTTTTTTTTTTCTAGTTGGAGTTTTGCTCTGTCGCCCAGGCTGGACTGCAGTGGTGCAATCTCGGCTCACTGCAACCTCCACCGCCCGGGTTCAAGCAATTCTCCTGCCTCAGGTAGCTGGGATTACAGGTGTGCGCCACTATGCCTGGCTAATTTTTGTATTTTTAGTAGAAACTGAGTTTCTCCATGTTGGCCAGGCTGGTCTCGAACTCCTGACCTCAGGTGATCCACACGCCTCAGCCTCCAAAAGTGCTGAGATGGCAGATGTGAGCCTCCGAGTCTACCCAGATTGGGAGGCCTCTTCACGTGATTGGGTTCTCCACATTCAGGGATGGCATCCTCCCCGCAGGGTCTGGGCCACTTCTTAGAGCAAAGACTCAGAGGGGGCCACGTGCAGTGGCTCACACCTGTCATCCCAGCACTTTGGGAGGCCGAGGCAGGAGGATTGCTTGAGACTAGGAGTTCAAGACCAACCTGGGCCATATGTAGAGACCTTGTCTCTACAAACAGTTAAAAATTAACCAGGTGTAGTGGTGCATGCCTGTAGTCCCAGCTACTTGGGAGGCTGAGACGGGAGGATTGTTTGAGCCTGGGCAGTCGAGGCTGCAGTGAGCTGTGATCATGCCACTGCACTCCAGCCTGGGTGACACAGTGAGACCCTGTTTCAAGCAACAACAACAACAACAGTAAAAATTTCCCAGTTCAGTGACTCACATCTGCAGTCTCAACACCTTGTGTGCCCAAGATTTGTGGATCGCCTGAGCCCAGGAGTTTAAGCCCAGCCTGGCCAACATGGTGAAACCCTGTCTCTACAAAAAACACAAACCTAGCTGGGCTTGTGGGTGTATGCCTGTAGTCCCAGCTACTCAGGAGTCTGAGGCGGGAGGATCACTTGAGCCCGGGAGGCGGAGGTTGCAGTAAGCCTAGATCTTGCCACTGCACTCTAGCCTAGGAGACAGAGCGAGATACTGCTAGGGGAAAACAAACAGACTCTGAGGCACCTTCTTTGTAGGCTATGGGGTGATTGTGGGCATAAAGATGAGTGGTTCTGGCTAGGCGCGGTGGCTCACACCTGTAATCTCAGCATTTTGGGAGGCCGAGATGGGTGAATCACAAGGTCAGGGGTTCGAGACCAGCCTGACCAACATAGTGAAACCCTGTCTCTACTAAAAATACAAAAATTAGCCGGTGTGGTGGTGCATGCCTGTAATCCCAGCTACTCAAGAGGCTGAGGCAGGAGAATTGCTTGAATTGGGGAGGCAGAGTTTACAGTGAGCTGAGATTGCATCATTGTACTCCAGCCTGGGCGACAGAGCAAGACTCCATCTCAAAAAAAAAAAAGATTAGTGGTTCCCATCTGCATGGAGTCACAGGAGAAGTCTTTGTATTAAGGGTGGGGGAGCCTCATTTTTATGGGCACTGAGGTTTCCCTGTGTAGGAATTAGGGGTCTTTCTTCATATAGGGGATGGGGTCCTTTCTGTGGGGTTTGGGGACCTTCTTTGATTGGGACTGGGGAACACTCTCTGTGGAGATGAGGCTTTCTCTCTATGAGGAACTCACCGCAGGAAACACGTACCGCTGGGTGGACCCCCTCCTGGGATGTGTGGTCCGCTGGCATCAGGCCAAGCAGGCTGTGGGGTGGGTCCGGCCCCTGCTGTAGCTACAGACCCAGCCAGCAAGGAACAGCAGGCAGGGCAGGGAAGGATGCTGCGGTCAGCACCAGGTGTCCAGTTTCCAGCCCGGAGGGAGAGCTAATTATACCCCTGGACCCAAAAGGTCAGGGCCTGGTGGCCTGGGCGGATGGGGCAGGGCCTGTTGGGGGTAAGGGAAACCCGATCCCACAGACTCTCAGATAAATTTATACCTAGGGTGGGGGCCTGGACTCCTGGGTCTGAGGGAGGAGGGGATGGGGACCTGGAACTTTAGGTCTGAGGGAGGAGGGCCTGGGGTCTGGACTCCTGGGTCTGAGGGAGGAGGAGCTGGGGGCCAGGACTCTTGGGTCAGAGGGAGGACTGTTCTGACTGCATGCTCAACAGTGAATATCCCCTACCTTACAGTGGCCAAAAAGGCCCCCAAAGGCAAAGAAGCCCCCAAGGAGGCTCCCCCTAAGGAGTCGCCTGCAGAGGCCCCCAAAGGTGAGGAGGTGTCCCCTGGGCTCAGCCGGCCTGGCTTCTCATCTCCGTCCTCCCCGATGCGCCTCACCCCGGCCTTCCCCCAGCCTCTGTCCTTGAATCTGTCCCCATATAGCCCCAGGGCTGACCCACGCCTGCCATGCTCCCAGCCTTCCCGGGGCTCCCTGGCACCGCCACGCAGAGCCCAGCACCTCGGCTGGCTTCAGCTCCCATCAACTGGCTGGTTGATTGCCAAGTTCTGCCCCAATCTCTAAACCTCTCCCACTCCAAAGTCCATTGAGTGACCTCCAGATGAGGAAACCAAGGCCCAAAGGGGTGGGGGAGTCTGGCCAAGGTCACACAGCCACAAGGGTGACCAGTGGCCTTTCCCAGGCCAGGAAAAGCCATTTCACCCCCGTGATGTTTGGTTTCTGAGCAGAGGGTCCCTCCCTGTCTCTAAGTCCCTTCCCCAAAGTGGCCCACTGTCCCCGCCAGCCCATCTCAGACCTCCTCATCCTAATCCTGTCCCCTGAGCAGAAGCTCCACCCGAGGACCAGTCCCCAACTGCAGAGGAGCCCACTGGAATTTTCCTGAAGAAGCCAGACTCCATCTCAGTGGAGAATGGTGAGGGAACCCTGGGGAGGAGGGGCTGGAGGCCTGGACCCCTGAATCTGAGGGAGGAGGGGCTAGAGTCTGGAATCCCAGGTCTGAGGGGGGAGGGGCTGGGGTCTGGACTCCCGGGTCTGAGGGAGGAGGGCTGGG